ACTCAAACTGCGGTCAGCCATGTGGGAGTCCAGCTGCCTCAACCACCACGCCACCTGCCAGCCCGTCACTTGACTTTTACAACTGTGTGGCAGGCTGACATTGGGCCCTTTTTGCTCAAACTAAACCATACCTTTGAAATTATGACGAAAACATGGAAACCAGCAGTCTTCATCCTCTATAAGGGGAAGTTGAGGCTGAAGCTACAGACCTAACGCTCTGACCTGAGGAAAAGCCTGGACTGTACTATCTGTGGATTCGGCAGCAACACACAGGAAGTACAGTTTCGTTTTTTTAAAGATTTTTGCTATAAGGCGCATGTGCTTGCTAGAGAGACATAGAGAAGGTGAGAAACCACCTCCCATGGGGGCATGGCCATGGGAATGGCCACACCTCAATCCCGTCTCCTCTCAAAATTTTGGGTACGCATGTATGCATGCCCTGCATGAGTTTCAAGCCACCAGGTCCGAGAGTCGAACCTTGGTCGGCCATTTGGGAGTCCAGTGCCTTAGCCATGTGCCACCTGCTGGCTCCCATTCTTTTTAAGGTTTTTGCCATAGGGCACCTGTGTTCAAAGGAGATAGACAGAAAGGAGCAGTATGAGGGAGAGGGCGAAATCCCCAAGAGGATGGCCACACCACAATCTCTTCTCTGTTCTCCTCCTGGGATCTTGGGCACTCATGTACACTCGCCTGGCGTGATTCTCAAGCTACCAGGTCTGGGACTGGAAAACACAGCCAACCATGTGCGAGTCTAGCACCTTCACCACCATGCCACCTGCCGGCCCCAAGAAGAACATTCTTCAAAGTTATACTGAGGTATGTTACTCTAGTCAAGTCTGTTTGCATCTGTGACTTATATCATGGGATGCAATTCTCTCAAGCAGCAGTCTTGCTAGTAATGATTGCAGAGAACTACTGGGGTTGGTTTTCCATTGGCAGCAACCTATAGAAACCACCCTAAAAAAAGAAAGATGCCATCTTTGTGGTGGTTGCTATGGGAGGTTCACATGGGACTCTTTAAAGACCCATCCCAGGACCAGCAGGTGGCATTGTGGTTAAGGCACTGGATACTACCACATGGCCAACCATGGTCCGAGTCCCAGACCTGGTGACTTGCTTTCTCACTTCCCCCACCCCCTCTCTCTGTATCTCTCTCTGGTCAAAATTAAAATAATACAGAAAAATTAAAAACAAATAATTATTTTTTAGAGAACTATTTAATTTTATTTATTCATTCATTTATTCTCATTTGATTTATTCTAATTTGAGCCACTTGCTGGTCCCCAAAACAAATAATTCTTTGGAATAAAAAAAAAAATAGAACCGGGACTGACAGGTGGCATGGTTAAGGGTGCTGGACTCCCACGTGGCCAACTGCGGTTCGAGTCTGGGACCTGACGGCTTGCTTTCTCTTTTTCTCTCTCTTTCTCTCACTCTCACTCTGTCCCTCTCTGATCAAATTTTAAAAAGAAATAAAGTTAAATAAAATATTTTTTTAAAAAAAAGAGCCATCCCAGCGGCCATCCTCTCCTCTCACAACCACCCACCTGCACTATGTGGAGCTTTGGCAGCAGGTTGCAGTCAGCCAAGGTGAGCTCGTTGCCATCCAGAAATTTCCTCTGAGAAACACCTTCATCTTCAGCACTGGTCTCATCCACTTCTTCTGGGAGAGGGGTGGTCAAGTAATTGTCTAAAACCTTCAGGGCTTTCAGAAGCCCTTTCTCCAGATCTGTGTAACAGAGGGAACCGGTTAGAACTTCCGCAGAAGACTGATTCCATCCAAGGAAACTCATGGTGGGGGGGTAAATGCTAACGGAAAAGCCAGACCAAAACAATAATGGCTAACATAATTAGTTTACTTTTCTTTTTTGCTATAGGGCATGTGTGCTCACTAGAGAGAAAGAAAAAGAGAAAGTGAGAAATCACTTCCCAAGGGGGATGGCCACATCACAATCCCTTCTCCTCTCAGGATTTTGGGCGCACACGCCTACGTGCCTGGCAGAATTTTCAAACCTTCATGTCTAGGACTTGAATGGCGAAGTCGGCCATGTGAGATCTAGACTCTTTAACCTTCATGCCCACCTTCTGACCCTGTAATTTGTTTTCAATGTATTATTGTAAGCACATGACATATAAAAACTCATTTAAGGACCAGCAGTTAGCGCAATGGCTATTAATCGCTATGTCGCTGGACTCCCATGTAGTTGACCGCGGTTTGAGTCCCGGACCTGGTAGCTTGAACTCACACCAGGCATGGGTGCGTGAGTGCCCAAGATCACGAGAGGATAACTAAGGAGAAACGATTGCGGCATGGCCATCCCCCTGGGGGGTGATTTCTTGCTTTCTGTCTCTCTGTCTCTCTCTTTCTGGTGAGCACACATACCCTATAGCAAAAACCTCTCAAGAAAACAAACAACAACAACAACAAAAACCTCATTTAATTCTTACATCAACCCATATAATAGGTATTATTATTTTCATTTTATAGACCCAGAAACAGATTTATAGAGAGGTTAAATGAATTGCTCAAAGTCACACAGCTAGTCAAAATGTATGTTCAGGTAGTCTGGATCTGGAGTCATTGTTTAAGCTCAATCCTTTCTGCCAGAAAACAGGTCAACGGCCAACTAATGTCCCTAGCAGGGCAGAAGAGGCTAGAAAACTGAGAGGCTTAAAAACATTGGCCAGTGGGGGCCAGCAGGTGGCATGGTGGTTAAGCCACAGACTCAATGGCCTGAAAATCACGCTGGGCACCTGTGCATGTGTGCTCAAAATCCCAAGAGGAGAACAGAGAAAGGACTGTGGCATGGCTATCCCCCCTGGGGGTGAATTCTCATTTTCCCTCTGTCTGTATCTGAGAACGTGCACCCTATGACAAAACCTAAAAGAAAAGAAAAGGAAAGTCTGGGACCAGCAGTTAGAGTAATGGCTATGTTGCTGGACTCCCACTTAGTCGACCGCAGTTCAAGTCCTGGACCTGGTGGCTTAAACTCACGCCGGGTACATGTGTGTGCGTGCCCGAGATCCGGAGAGGAAAATGGAGGAGAAGGGATGGCGGTGTGGTCATCCTGCCCAGGGGGTGATTTCTCACTTTCTGTCTTTCTGTCTCTCTCTGTCTTTCTGGAGAGTGCACGTGCCCTATAACAAAAACCTCTCAAAAAAAAAAGAAGAGAAAAGAAAGAAAAGTCTTAGCCAAATACAGAGGTACAGAGGTATGGCAAAAGCAGGAGGGGACTAAGGATGCTAAGCTAAGATTTCTTAACTTTCTTTTTTTCCTCTTTTTCTGATAATGACTGCATTTGATTTGTAGATCACTTTGAGTAGTATGGAATTTTTATTTAAACAATTATTTAATTTGTTGTTATTATTATTATTTTAATTTGACCAGAGAGAGAGAGAAAGGGAAAGCGAGAAAGCAAGCCACCAGGTCTGGGACTCAAACTACAGTCAGGCATGTGAGAATCCAGCACTTTTAACCACCATGCCACCTGCTGGCCCCACATTTATTTATTTTTTTTAGAGTTTTTTTGCTATAGGGTGCGTGCGCTCACCAGAAAGACAGAGAGACAGAAAGCGAGAAATCACCCCCCCAGGGGGGATGGCCACGCTGCAATCCCTTCTCCTCCGTTCTCCTCTCAGGATCTCAGGCACGCATACACACTCGCCCAGCATGAGTTTAAGTCACCGGGTCCGGGACTCGAACTGCGGTTGGCTACATGGGACTTCAGCGACATAGCTATTACGCTAACTGCTGGTCCCCTGGCCCCACATTTTTTAACTTTCAAGTGCCCCTTGCCTCCCAATCTCTGGGTCCTCATTCCTCCCAGGCCCCAGGACTCTGACCACAAGACTCACTATCATTGAGAGCTGGGTTTGAATTCTTGATGTAGGCAGAAAATTTGGCAAATATGTCCAGCCCAGCTGTGTTAGACTCAGGGTTCAGAGCTGCCAGTTTGGGGTACCTGAAAGTCAATGGAATAATCAAACAAGTTATCTCCCTGGGAAGAGCCTCCCCAGCCCTCCCACCCGGCCCCACCACCATCCATTTCTTCAACCTGTCTGTTTTCCAGAGTCCCCCAGCTCCCTCCCTCCCCCTTCTGAGTGTCCATACCTGGGAGGGCACAGCACTGCTTCCAGAAACTCCTCAATCTTGTTGGTGTCTGTGTGCACCTCGGTGCCATAGAGCAGGAACGGGAGCTGCCCTCCTGGGCACAGCTTCTGCACCGTCTCCGTCCGTCTGGAGAAGGGCCCGGGTGTCAGGATAGGAAAAGGGTGTCGGGGGAACCAGGAAGGGAAGGTGGAGGCGTGTGGGCAGAGAACGGGAGGACTTGGCAGGTGAGCACACGTAGGTGCACAAGGGGTGTTTAGGAGAACAGAAGAAGGAGGCCCACCTCTTGGTGTCAACGGTGGTGACGTTGAAGGTGACTCCCTTGAGCCAGAGCACCATGAAGAGTCTCTGGGAGAAGGGGCAGTTTCCAATCTTGGCCCCATCACTGCCAGCCTGAAAGGCAACCCCCATCCTAAGGTTAGGCCTGGTAGCCCCATCGCACCCGGCTAGTCCCTGGATGTCCTCCTCCCACTGCAGCTGTTTTCTACCTAGTCATCACACACGCCCTTACTCAAAGCTCACTGTAGAACCGTGTTCTCGACCCTGGGGCCTGGGTCCAACCTAGAGCAGTTGATTGAGAAATTTTCCTGCAAAGGCGGGGTTCTGGTTTCCCAGCCTGAGGACACATGGGAGGCAGGCAGAGGGAAGGGGTCTCAGAGAACTTGGAGAATCTGAACCCCGGAAAGGGAGGGGTATGAGCCTTTGGTGAAGCCAAGGGGCAGGCTAGAGGCCTGGGTTCCTGAATGGAGAAGTCTGAGAAGAGGAGAGGTGGGGCAGGATTTGGAAGCCAGATTCCGTTTACACCTCCGCTCGAGCTATTTCTGGTACTGGGCGGGGAGTCAAGGGGTCCCCATCCCATCCTACACATGAGGAGGGCCTTGCACAGAGGGGCTGCCCTCTAATTGGCAAATAGTGACCTCATTCCCCCAAGGGACACCTCCCCCTAGGCTGAGGGTGATTCATCTCGGTCTGGGCCCCAGCAGCTTCCTTCCTGGCCAGGAAGTGGGGGCAGGGACCCGTGAGGCAAGGCTGGGCAGCGGAGGCCACTCCCCAGCGGGCAGCCCTCCCACTTCCATTTCTAGGGTCTCCGGGCATATTCCTCTTCACACAGGACACAGGGTCAGGCTCTCTGCAGCCCAGCCTCACCCGGGAGTAAAAACTGCCCCGGAGGCCAGTGTGAGAGTGAGGTGGGGACCACACCTCAGGGGGCGGACCTAGACTGACTTCACTGAGCCCGGGAGAGGCAATGGCTGTCCGAGACACCCGGGCCAAAGGAGAGGGAGGAACGGGCAGGAGCACAAAGAGAGGGACAACGAGGAGCGAGCACAGAGAGGAGGCCGGGAGTGGAGGGCGGGGAGCGTGTGCGAAGGAGCCTCAGAGCAGAGAGGACCCGAAGAAGAGAGGCAGGGCACAGAGATGGGGCCCGATGGCCGGTGGAAAGAACGCAGGGCGGTGGGGAGGGGAGTGGCTGCCAGAGCCCCAGGGTGCAGGCCGCCTGGGGTTTTGATACCCAAATCCACGCACCCACCTCTCCTCATCCGCACCCTGAGCACCCTGAGAGAGGGCCGGGCTGGGGAGAGTCTCTCTGCGGCTGCTACACCCCCACATTCTCAAAGTCCGGATCCAGCTGCTCCCCACCCTGCTCTCTCCCGCCTACCAGGTGGCTACTGCTAACCCCCCACCTCTTCACGGCTCCCCGGCTCCCTTCCCCAGCGCCCATCACCTCTGCAGCCCCGCTCCTGGAACTCTGCCCTCCCTCCCTCTCTCCTTCCCACCAATCCCGCAGAACTCAGCCCCACTCTCGGGCCCCCTCAACACACTTCTTCCCCGAACCTCCCACGCCCCCTACACCCCGCTTCCCCCGCACGCCCTCACCCTGCAGACTGCCCACAGGGTCGTGGTGCTGACCGATGTTTCCCGCTGCCCCGGCCCCCGCCCAGTCCCCCTTCTTTTCCTGGAGCGCGTTCTCTACCTTCCGCCCTAGGCTGCGGGAACCCGGCTCGCACGCCCACTTCCCAGGTCGGGCCCCGAACTCTCAGAAGTCGCTCCCATAGAGCAGGAACGGGAGCTGCCCTCCTGGGCACAGCTTCTGCACCGTCTCCGTCCGTCTGGAGAAGGGCCCGGGTGTCAGGATAGGAAAAGGGTGTCGGGGGAACCAGGAAGGGAAGGTGGAGGCGTGTGGGCAGAGAACGGGAGGACTTGGCAGGTGAGCACACGTAGGTGCACAAGGGGTGTTTAGGAGAACAGAAGAAGGAGGCCCACCTCTTGGTGTCAACGGTGGTGACGTTGAAGGTGACTCCCTTGAGCCAGAGCACCATGAAGAGTCTCTGGGAGAAGGGGCAGTTTCCAATCTTGGCCCCATCACTGCCAGCCTGAAAGGCAACCCCCATCCTAAGGTTAGGCCTGGTAGCCCCATCGCACCCGGCTAGTCCCTGGATGTCCTCCTCCCACTGCAGCTGTTTTCTACCTAGTCATCACACACGCCCTTACTCAAAGCTCACTGTAGAACCGTGTTCTCGACCCTGGGGCCTGGGTCCAACCTAGAGCAGTTGATTGAGAAATTTTCCTGCAAAGGCGGGGTTCTGGTTTCCCAGCCTGAGGACACATGGGAGGCAGGCAGAGGGAAGGGGTCTCAGAGAACTTGGAGAATCTGAACCCCGGAAAGGGAGGGGTATGAGCCTTTGGTGAAGCCAAGGGGCAGGCTAGAGGCCTGGGTTCCTGAATGGAGAAGTCTGAGAAGAGGAGAGGTGGGGCAGGATTTGGAAGCCAGATTCCGTTTACACCTCCGCTCGAGCTATTTCTGGTACTGGGCGGGGAGTCAAGGGGTCCCCATCCCATCCTACACATGAGGAGGGCCTTGCACAGAGGGGCTGCCCTCTAATTGGCAAATAGTGACCTCATTCCCCCAAGGGACACCTCCCCCTAGGCTGAGGGTGATTCATCTCGGTCTGGGCCCCAGCAGCTTCCTTCCTGGCCAGGAAGTGGGGGCAGGGACCCGTGAGGCAAGGCTGGGAAGACGAGGCCACTCCCCAGCGGGCAGCCCTCCCACTTCCATTTCTAGGGTCTCCGGGCATATTCCTCTTCACACAGGACACAGGGTCAGGCTCTCTGCAGCCCAGCCTCACCCGGGAGTAAAAACTGCCCCGGAGGCCAGTGTGAGAGTGAGGTGGGGACCACACCTCAGGGGGCGGACCTAGACTGACTTCACTGAGCCCGGGAGAGGCAATGGCTGTCCGAGACACCCGGGCCAAAGGAGAGGGAGGAACGGGCAGGAGCACAAAGAGAGGGACAACGAGGAGCGAGCACAGAGAGGAGGCCGGGAGTGGAGGGCGGGGAGCGTGTGCGAAGGAGCCTCAGAGCAGAGAGGACCCGAAGAAGAGAGGCAGGGCACAGAGATGGGGCCCGATGGCCGGTGGAAAGAACGCAGGGCGGTGGGGAGGGGAGTGGCTGCCAGAACCCGAGGGTGCAGGCCAAAGTGCCAGCCACTGCCTGGGGTTTTGATACCCAAATCCACGCACCCACCTCTCCTCATCCGCACCCTGAGCACCCTGAGAGAGGGCCGGGCTGGGGAGAGTCTCTCTGCGGCTGCTACACCCCCACATTCTCAAAGTCCGGATCCAGCTGCTCCCCACCCCGCTCTCTCCCGCCTACCAGGTGGCTACTGCTAACCCCCCACCTCTTCACGGCTCCCCGGCTCCCTTCCCCAGCGCCCATCACCTCTGCAGCCCCGCTCCTGGAACTCTGCCCTCCCTCCCTCTCTCCTTCCCACCAATCCCGCAGAACTCAGCCCCACTCTCGGGCCCCCTCAACACACTTCTTCCCCGAACCTCCCACGCCCCCTACACCCCGCTTCCCCCGCACGCCCTCACCCTGCAGACTGCCCACAGGGTCGTGGTGCTGACCGATGTTTCCCGCTGCCCCGGCCCCCGCCCAGTCCCCCTTCTTTTCCTGGAGCGCGTTCTCTACCTTCCGCCCTAGGCTGCGGGAACCCGGCTCGCACGCCAACTTCCCAGGTCGGGCCCAGAACTCTCAGAAGTCGCTCCCAAGTTTTTTCTTTCCCACGGGCAACCGCCTCCCCCAAAGGCCGCACGTGGGACTGGGGTGCGGGTTAAGGAGGGAAGGGCTTGGGAAGTGAAGGCCGGAGCTGGGCAAGGTGGCGAGCTGCCCTCCGGGAACTCGGGCGGCCACGGAGGACGAGGTGCGCCTACCTTCACGAACAACTCGACCTGTGGTTGCTCTTCAGCCATGGCTGCTTCGGGGACCAGGAAGCGGCAGGCGCTGGGGGGAACTGGGAGGGGCCCGGGCCAGGAAGGCGGGACTCGCCCCGGGATTCTCGCTCCCGGCTCTAGCGCTGCTCCCTCGGCGTAACGCAAGCGCGATCGCACCCGCTCGCTCCGCTGCAGACCCGGCCTCAGCAGCAGCGCAGGGCACCCCCGACCCAGCTCTTCCAGCGCTGTCCCCTCCCGGTAGGATCAGGGAGCCGCTGACTCACCGACGGGCCCCGCCCTGAACCTGGGGAGGGGACAGGAGGGGCGGGGCTCGCCCGTCTAGGGTGTGGGTCTGAAGGGGAGGAACGCAGGTCTCCCGAAGCACGCGGATGCTAAGGGGAGGGAATCTTGAGAGCCTCCTTGTTGCTCCCATCTCTCTGGAACACACCCCTTTCTCTGCCTCAGTTTCCCGGCTTCTTGAGTCAGAAGACTGTCCTGCTTCGCCTTCACTCAAGAAATGCGTTACCGACAGCTTGGGGACACCCATGACGATGCAGAGCTGGGATCCTCTGCGTTCCTTCCCAACTCCAGTCCAAGTTCCGGATAGCTGGGACTGTGGTCCAGGGCGAGAACCGGGCAGACACAGCTGGGATTGAGGGTAGGGATTGAGTACAGGGATTGGGAAGGGAGACAAGCAGGCTTTGTGCCAGAGAAGCAGGAAGCTTGGGACCAGCAGTTAGCGTAATGGCTATGTCGCTGGACTCCCACGTAGTCAACCGCGGTTCGTGTCCCGGACCCGGTGGCTTAAAACTCACACCGGGCATATGTGCATTCGTGCCCAAGATCCCGAGAGGAGGATGGAGGAAGAGGGATTGCTGCATCCCCCATGGAGGGTGTAATTTCTCACTTTCTGTCTCTCTGTCTCTGTCTTTCTGGCAAGCGCAGGACCTTATAGCAAAAACCTCTCAAAAGAAAAAAAAAAAAAAAGGGAAACAGGAAGCTGGACCCACGGGTTTAATGGTTCCACTTCTGCTCCCTCCTGGAGGGCCCCTTCCTGTGCCATTTGCCTACTCTCACTGGCAGGTTGCCTTGGCGATGGGGTGGAGGGGTGGGATTATCACAGTCCTAGGACAGAGCTATTCTGATCCTGGGGTGAGGGCAATGGAGCTAGTGCTATCATGGGGATAAATAAACCAAAATCAGACAGAATTATGAGTAGATCCCTCATGGACACATAGTAGGGAAGACAGAGGAAGAACAGCTCTCTCCCTCCCCAGCAACTTTCCTTGATTTCAGAGCTTCTATCAAACTATTTATGACCTTGCTGAAAAATAGCCTCAGAATATGTCTCCCGAATGGGCCATAGCTCAGCCTCTATCTGCTGAATTTTTCTCCTGTCCAATCGTCCCTTCTCTTTCCTCCTTACTACCCTCTGTCCAACAGAAGACTTATAGTTCCAGGAAAACGTGGTGGAGCGCAAGGACAAGTGGGAAAACAGGGCTTGAGACTTAAAGGGAGAGCCTTGGAGGCGAGGGTGGAGTGACCCGTGGTGCTGCTGGAAACCAGCAGTTAGTGGTTTCCTCTTGGGCTTCCTCTTCTGGGGTTTGCTCCTCCCTGGGGGAAGGCCTGTCTCTGTCTTACCCAAAAGGGGGTATGTCTGGTGCTTGCTCCCTTGAATCATAACTGTAACATCCTGTAAGGATGTAGAATTCCATGTGCGTGTGTGCGTGGGTGAATCACCTCCATGGTGACCCTCAGGATCTATACAGGACACTTCCTACTGAGGGGAGGAGGAGATCAAAGCAGTCCTACTTTGGGTCCTGTCCTGTTCTAGCTGGTCAGTGTTCACCAGACAATCTGCCCCACAAAAATTGCCCCTCTGGGAGAAGCCTCAGGTGCTCAGGGCCAGCTCTGAGCTCAAACAGGTTTGGCAGCTTCTCCCCTGCCACTTCTCTCTCCTACAGCTTTGTAGTTACAGCTGCCCTTGGTCATCAATATTGACTTTGGCTGCCTGGCATGGCTACCCACAAGGTATCTCGCCTTAAGTTCCCAGGTGACAGGCAATGCCGTCCTCTCCTGGAACCATTCAGCAGTGCCCGCTGCTGGATTCGAGGCCAGGAGCTAGACTCCTGACTCCCGAGTCAAAGAGGTTTCCCTCTAGTCTCTTCTCTTTGCCGCTGTTTTTCTCCTATCTAAGTTATCTTCTTTCTCTTTCCACTCCCTCCCTTTCCCGGGGCTTGGTAAACCAGTCCCTAATCTCTTCACACCCCAGATTGGAAGGTGTGTCCCTCCCTGACACTCCCCAGTGTTGTCATCTGACCTCCCCCGGGTTGCCATAGCTTCATTACTCAACAATTTGCCAGGGGTAACCATTAACCCAGCCCTTAACTGGGCTCTCCCACCTTTCTCGCTGGAGAAGGTTTTCCAAGTCAGGACAGCCAAATCATTTCATGTCCCTCTCCATCTTTTCTTTTCTTTTTTTTTTTTTAAATAATTATTTTATTTAACTTTTTTATTTATTATTATTATCATTATTGTTTTCCAGTTTGATCAGAGAGAAATAGAGAGAGAGAAAGTGAGAAAGCAAGCCACTAGGTCCGAGACTTGAGCCATGATTGAACATGTGGGAGTCCAGCGCCTTTAACCACCCTGCCACTTGCTGGCCCCCCTCCCCATCTTTTCTAACCTCTTGTGGGAGAGCCTCCCTACCTCAGGGTGCTGAGAACAAAGCTAGGGAGGAAGGTGTATTTTAAGGGACATTTTTTTTTTTTAATTTGTCACAGGGCCTGTGTCCTCACCAGAGAGACAGAGAGAGGGAGAGAAAAACAAAAGAGAAAGCAACACCCCCACGGAGAATGATCACTTGGCAATCCCATCTTCTCTATCTCTTCCTCCTGTAGGGATTTGGGGTGTGAATGCACATGCACCCAGCATGTTTCTTTCTTTCTTTTTAAAACAATTATCCATTTTAATTTCTTATTTATTAATTCATTTTAGTTTAATTTACCAGAGAGCAACACAGAGAGAGAGAGCGAGAGAGGGAAGGTGAGAAAGCAAGCCACCAGGTCCTGGACTTGAACGGTAGTCGGCCATGTGGGAGTGTCCAGTACCTCAACCACCATGCCACCCACTGGTCCTCTCTTTTTTTTTTTTTTAATTTAATTAAATTTTTAAATTATTATTCAATTAGACCAGAGAGAGAGCGAGCGAATGAGAAGGCAAGCTGCGAAGTTTGGGACCGGAACCATGATCAGCCATGTGGGAGTCCAACTCCTCAACCATCATGCCACCTGCCAAGCTGCCAGGTGTGGGACTTGAACCCCATGGTTAACTATGTGGGAACCTGCTACCTGAACCATTGGCCACAGAGCTGACCAGGGAATATTTTTTTTTTTTTTTTTTTTACTTTGTAATAGAGGATGTGTGCCCACGGGGAGAGAGAGAGAGAGAGAGAGAGGGAGAGAGAACAAAAGAGGGAAAGTAACAAATCACCCCCCAGGGGAGATGGCTGCCCTGCAATCCCTTCTCTAGTTTCCTCTTCAGTTTCTGGGCACACACACACACACACACACACACACACACATATGCTGAATCGCACTGGGTCTGGGACGCAAGCCGCGTTTTTGGTCATGTGGGATCCAGGCACCTTAACCACCGCACCACCAACCAGCCCTGGAGTTTTTGTTTTTGTTTGTTTTGTTTCTAGAGAAGAGATTTTTGTTATAGGGCATGTGCGCTTGCTAGAGAGACAGACAGAGAGACCTCACCCCCGGGGGCATGGCTACACTTCAATCTCTTCTCCATTCTTAGGATGTTGGGCACGGGTACACATGTGTATGGCATGGCCCTAGTGTGTGTGTGTGTGTGTGTGTGTGTTTTAAAAGGATTATTTATTTAATTTTATTTATTAATTTATTTTAATTTAACCAGAGAGAGAAAGAGAGGGAAAGTTCAGAAAGCAAGCCACCAGGTCCAGAACTCAAATCATAGTGGGCCATGTGGGAATATCCAGTGCCTTAACCACCATGCCACCTGCTGGCCCTTGGCCCTAGAGTTTTTAAAAGCATATATTTGGGGGACAACAGGTGGTGTAGTGGGTAAGGCACGGGATTCCCACATGGTCAACTGCAGTTCGAATCTTGGACTTGGCTTCTAGAGAGTCCATCGAGGCATGTGTGCATGTATGCCCTGCGTGCTCAAAATCCTGAGAAGAAAATTAGGGAAAAGGGATTGAGAGTTGCCATCCTGGTGGGGAGGCGTGACTTGTCCCTTTCCCACTGTCTCTCCAGCAAGCACACATGCCCTATGGCAAAAGCCTAAAATAAAATTTTTAAAAAGAATGTATTTATACCTCCACCACAACCTTTTCTCCTTTGCTCCTAAAAGCAGACACAAATAAGCTTCAGTGAGCAGGGACTTCTCCATTCACAGTTTGAGTCCATCACCTGACCCACAGTAGGCACTAAATAATGAATGAATGACACCCCTCTGTCCTTATGGAGGTGTGGTCTGGGGAGGGAGCTGGAGTATGTTGCTATGAGCATGTTCCAGTAGGGCTGTAGATATTCTTAGCAGGTCCACCTTCAGGGATTTGGTGTAATTCCTATGCATGCTTCCACTTTCTAATTAAAAATTAGGCCTAATGGGGCTGGCAGGTGGTGCCGCAGTTAAGGGCCCTGGACTCTCACAGGGCGACAGTGGTTGGAGTCCAGTACCTGGTGGCTTGCTTTCTCACTTTCCCTCTCTTTCTCTCTTACTCTATCCTTCTCTGGTCAAATTTAAATAAATAAATGCACTTAAATAAAATAATTATTTTTTAAAAATTAGGCATCATAGTTCTTTTGTGGGTTGGTCATACCCTGCACCGAGGAAACAGGCAAAATAGGACTGAAATAAGGGTTATTTATTTACAACACTCAAGCAGTTCTTACTTTGTTTGCCAGGCATTGGTCTAAGGGCTTTATAAATATCAACTCAGAGGGTACAAGTGTTAACTTAAGCGTTATTATTGGCACAAACTGAATTAATGTTGCTTATTTCCAATCTCCAGAGGAAAAAGAAAAAAAAAAAAAGTTTCTGGCCCTTTAAGGCCGACCTCCTCCCCACCCCTCCAAACGCCCGGAGGTTCTGCCTGGGTCCGGACTCGAGCTGTTTCAGACCTCGCCGCCTCCTTCAGCGCCTGACATTCTGGGAGCCGGGCAGGCTGCTAAGCAACGGCAGAGGGCGGGAAGTTTAAACCTTCGGTCTCCGCCCCGAATGCGAATAGACCAATCAGCGCCTAAATGCTTCAGCGACCGCATCCACCCCTCCCTCTCGCCCGGTTGGATCTCTAGGCAGGAACCAGGTCTCCGACCAATAGCAGCTAGGAGGGCGGGCCGTGTGCGCGCGCACCCCGCCCACTCGCTGGCGCGTCGCCCGGGCCGGCTGCTGGCGGCTGTCTGACGGCTTGTCTCGCGGACGCAGTGCCCCAGGTGACGGGAAAGGCGGGAAAACGCCGGGAGTTGGCGGCAGCTGGGGTCGGGGAAGGAAGGCGCTTGGACGAGGCGTAGTTACAGAGGCTGGGTGTGTAGACGTGCACATCTCACCCCACGGGGCCCACAGACCGCCTCCTTCCAAAGTCCACCTCCGCGTGACAGAAAAGCTGTGGTTGCCTACCCGCTGTGCCTACGGGACACACCCGAGAAGTCGCCCCTCAGAATGCCCTCGTTCCGCCACCACAGCTCCCCGCGCCCCTTGGCGGCCCTAACCTCAGCCCTCCAACAGGAGGCCGTCCTCTCCCAACCTCTTCCTGGGTGAGATGTCGCTTCTGAACCCCCCTTTCCGCATCCTCAGAGCCTCCAAGCCCATGGCCTCCTTAGGAGCGACCCCAGGCCGCACGCCGCAGGGACCAGGACCTGGACCCGGGGCAACCTTGACTGGCTTCTCCAGCCCAGTGCCAGTGCCAGGCCCTGGGGAGGCTGAGGAAGACGACGACGATGACGACGACGAAGCCGAGGTCCCGAGGTCCCCGGGGACCAGCACTATAGGGGAGGCAGGAGCTCAAATTAGGAGAGCTGGGAGCTGGTAGAAATGTCCAGAATGTTAAAATAGAATGGGGTTGGGCAGAGCTGGGCAAGTACTCACCTCTAAGCAAGCATCTGTGTCACGTTTACTAAATGAGGGTGATAATGCTTGTCTCAGATTTGATGGACCTATTAACATTAAATGAGGCCGGGACCAGCAGTTGGAGTAGTGGCTATGTCGCTGGACTCCCATGTAGTTAACTGTGGTTCGAGTCCTGCACCCTGTGTCTTAAACTCACGCTGGGTGCATCTGCGTGCATGCCCAAGATCCCCAGAGGAGAATGGAGGAGAAGGGATTGTGGTGTGGCCATCCCTTCCAGGGGATGATTTCTCACTTTCTCTCTCTGCCTCTTTCTGTCTTTCTGGTGAGTGAATGTGCCCAATAGCAAAAACCTCTCAAAAAAAAAAAAAAAATTAAATGAGGCCTGGCAGTACCCTGCACTGATGAGTAGTTCACATACTGGTTTTCTGTCTTTCTTGTGGGACAGATCCATCTGTGTGTGCTGTGGCATTCAGGATTCCTGGGCATTGCCTACTATGACACTAGTGACTCCACTGTCCACTTTATGCCAGACACCCCAGACCACGAGAGTCTCAGGCTTCTCCAGAGAGGTAGGGACAGGACCATGAATTGCTCTGTGCTCTGGGGTTGGAACTGTGTTTCACTCATAGGTCGTCACGTACTCGATCTATTTTATTGTTGACTCCCAGAGGCTTTCTGTTTTTTGTTTTGTTTTGTTTTGTTTTAGGAATTCATTATTCAACAAACATTTATTAGGAGTTTTTAATATATCAGGTGTTGCAGATATAATCCTGGGTAGATCAGTCATATCTGTACTCTGAGGGTTTAGAATCTAGTGACAATCTCCAGAGCACCCCCTGTTTTGTTGCACCGCCCGTTCTGTTACTTAAGCCTAGCTGCTACCTATGATCAGAATGTGCAGAGCACCCCCTACTCTTAGAGGGAAGAAGTAAGTTTTTGAGGGA